CGCAAGGTTCGATCTTAGATTCTATTATCTTTCTGTTATACGTAAACGATGTGCTCTCGTCTATTAAAACGCAAGTACAGTTGTGTTTGCCGATGACACGATGTTCTTTGCAAGCAAGAAACAATAAATAGTAATATTTCAAAAGTTTCCAATTGGTTTTGTATAACAAATTAATAGTTAACGAAGGAAACACAGTTCCAACGCATTTTTGCATTTCAAGTCAGCAATCTCATGCTCTATTGAAAATGAACAATATGCAATTAGCTGATGTTACGGTAACAAATTTTTTAGGTCTCTCACTTCAGTCAAACCTCAAATGGAATGTACATATAATTGAATTGAACACTAAATTAAGTACATTATGTTATGCATTCAGAATTCTTTCAAATTCCGTCAGCCTTCATGCAGCTCGTTTGCGTGTATTTTGCAAATGTGCTTTCCCGCCTGAGATATGGCTTAATATTCTGGGGAAGCTCATCATGTAGTACCCAAACATTTAAATTGCAAAAGAAAATTATTAGAGTAATGAAAAAATGCCATCCGCGTGATCCCTGCTGGCCTCTTTTCATTGAGCTTGATTCTTACCATTGCTTTGCCTACTTATTTACGAATCTGTAATATTTGTCAAAACTGACTTACTTAACGGTGGGCACATACTTTCATGCAATGCTGATATTTAGAATTACAATACACTTAGAAATCACGTTCATCAGGTGTCAGTATTAACACCTCTCTACAAGAAATCCACATACGATACATGTACGTTACTTTACAACGCATTGCCAGATGACATTCATCAATTGAAGTCGGTACACATTTATAAGTCAAAAGTCAAATAATTTTATCTACATAACTATTTCTATACAGTTAAAGACTACACTGATCATCACAAAGGAAAAATAATTATTTATTATATTGTTTATTTTAACAAAAGTGATATATAATGAATTAGTTTATATTTGTATTGTATAATTTTTTAAAAGACTTAATATGTTTAAAACAAATAATGTACTTGAGCTTCCAGGGTAGTGACCCCCATATCTATCAGGTTTTTGTCCAGTTTCCCTGATACATTGAGCAAAGGCTGAGATGTTTTTTTGTTTTGCTTCTGGACGTAAATGAAGCTTCACTATGAGCACGTTTCCACTCTCCTTTTGCTTGTAGGAGTAGAGTTACTATTTTGTAAACAATACAGAAAAATCAAACCTGCAGTTCGTTTACCTTTGCAAATAAGTTTTTTATAATTCGGGAACGAAAATGTCTAATCTGTTTTCAAATGTTGCGAATCGAAGTCGCGCTTTTTTAAATTTTTCTCAAATATGCCAGGTTGCAGGCAAAGGTATGCCAAGATATCAAATTTCAGGTATGTCACGGTATGAGGCAAGGTTACGAGCTTCCTGGAGTTCGCGATCACTACGACTAAAACGGACGCGAATTTTAAAAGTAAGGGTTATACAAACTGGCCCAGGGAGTGGTACCTCACTCGATACCTGGCACATGCCATTCGTTTATATACACCGAATAGCCAAAAAAAACTGCTACACCTGCTAATATCGTGTAGGGCCCCGCGAGCAAGTAGATGTGTAATACGACGTAGAATGGACTCGACTAATGTTTTGAAGTAGGGCTGGAGGTAATTGACACCACAAATCCTGAGGGTTGTCCATAAACTCGTAAGAGTACGAGGGGATAGAGATTTCTTCTGAACAGCACGTTGCAAGGCATCCCAGATGTTCTCAATAATGTTCATGTCTGGGGATGTTGCTGGCCAGTGGAAGTGTTTAAATTCATAAGAGGGTTCCTGGTACCACTGTAGAAATTGTGGATGTGAGGTCTGTCGCATTGTCCTGCTGGAATTATGCAAGACCGTCGGGATGCACTACGGACATGAAAGGATGCAGGTGATCAGACAGGATGCTTAGATACTTACGTACGTGTCACTTGTCCGAGTCGTATCAAGGACTCCAACTGAACATTTCCATACCATCACAGAGCCTCCACCAGATTGAACACACCCCTGTTGACACCCATCCGCTCGAAACAACGTGAAACGAGACTCGTCAGACCACGGAACGTGTTTCCAGTTATCAACAGTCCAATGTCGGTGTTGACGGGCTCATATGAGGCATAAAGTTTTATGTCGTGCAGTCATCAAGGGTGCACGAGTGGGCCTGCGGCTCCCAAATCTCGTTGAATGGTTCGCAGCTCTTTGACCACTGTGTGGTATTGCCCAGCGATGTAAAACTCTGCAGCAATTTGCGGAACTGTTGAACTTTTTCACGTAATAGGTTCCGCAGTCCGTCGACGTTCCCGTTCTTGCATAATGCCGGAGGTTTAATGTTTTCCATGGTTCCTTATACTTACACTCGTGAAATGGTCGTATGGGAAAATCAAAATTATTTCGCGAGTTCAGAGATAGTATGCCCCATCTCTCATGCGCCGAATATAACACAACGTTAAACTCACTTAAATCGTGTTAACCTGCCATTGTAGCAGCAGTAACCGATTTAACAACTGTTAAAAATATGGCGTTTATGTGATCTTATGGACTACATTTAGCACTACCTGTACCAAAAGTTTTTGAAAAGTTGGAGCCGTTGTTGAGAAAATTTTGGAAACGTCCGGAGAGCTTCATGTGAAGTACCTCCAAATTTTAAAGAACGTTATTCAAAACCTCAGAGCTTCGACTCGATCCAGATGGACAGGGTCTCTTCAATTTGGAAAAAATCGTACACATGGTTTAGTGCTGTACCCTAGTAGTGTACAGGGACAGACGGACGTTTTGAAATGAATGACTTTTTTGGTTTCAGGGGATCCCAAAACGTGTATTTCCATTGAAATCTTGAAATCGATTTTCCTCTGTATTACATAACTTTCCCTATACTCCGTATTTACGTAAGTATATGGGAAAGTAAAATTATTTGGTTTTTGCGCTTAGTATTGCCTTGAGTAAATATATTAAAGATAACATTTCTGTGGCCCAGCATGTGGCATTTGGCTTGAATGAAATAGTTATTACTCTTTGCCACTCCGCAAGGTACAATCAAATTCTATATCGTGATTTATGCAATTCAGCCCCTGGCAGGTATCAGCTATTGACTGTTTCATTTAATCGGGATCTTGAACGTCACAATAGTCACATCACTATGGTGACGTTCAATCTCTCAATTGGATGAAACTGTCAACATCCAGGGGCAAAGTGGCAAAAATTGCAGAATATTAGAATACAGAACACTCGGCGATAAAACGGGAGACCCATAAGCTAGCGACCCTAGTGGCCCGACCTGTCATAACCATTGTGATATCAAGTACGAAGTGTGTGAGTTTGAAAGATTTTTTTGTTTAATTACGATTTTGTTTATTTACATTTCGCAGAGTGATTCGAAAATTATTGTAGGTGCATCTGTTAAACTTTGAATTAGTCGCCGATTTTCCTGATCACTTCACTAATGAGCTGTTGTCTCCTCTTAGCAAGTATGAGAAAGTTTCAAAGTGTCTTGAATTGTCTACATAGTGTTTGATAGATCTCCCAGCAGTTCTTAGCCCTACATCACCCGCTGTGTTGTGGGAGGGAGGGCAGTGCCGTTGCGAAGGCAGATTCCAGGAGTTGGTTTCGACGCGTGAGCGTGTGCAATTCTACACGGATGATAGTCTCCCATACGGGACATAGCGTTTATCACGTCCCAAAATATAACGTCTTTTCAACGTGTGGAATGTTCCAAGCCAGCCACTAATGATTGTCAGTTCTCTTTAATTGTGTGCGCTTATGCGGAGGAGTAGCGTTCTTCCAGACTACGCAATAATAATAATAATAATAATAATAATAATAATAATAATAATAATAATAGTTAGAGCTCGGACATGTAGTCACTAAAAACGTCGAAAATAGGCAGAGAAATAGGCCCTTTAAAACAAAAAATAGGCATTGTAGTTGAAAATAGGCAAAGAGGAACTAAAAACTTAAAAAAACAATAGGGAAATAGGCATTATAGTTGATAATCGACTCTAAAACTCCTCAATATTCAAAATTAGACGTAATAAGCACATTAAAGATAAATACAGTTATTGGAAATTTATAGTTGTATATTTTTTCAAGAAATACACTTAAAGTTGGGTTTTGTTGGATTTCAAGTTTGTTGTTCGATTTTCAAGTTTTAAAGTAGGAAACTTCGCGGCAATTAGTGCACGACACAAGTAACTTTTTCTTGTCATCTTGTTACTACGATTGCTGAAGAAAGAGTTGAATAGTTTTTCTCACTTTCCCCACACATATTTTGTATGAGTTGTAGTGTTTTATGTTGTAAGATATATTTGGCACAGCTTACCAGTTATTCAAAACCCTGATAAAAAAATATGTTCCTTCCTTCGTGAAACCTTCTCTACGAATCCATTCTTTTGGCAAAGCACTACTTCATACTTTTGGAATTGCTTGAATTGAAACAAGCGTGCTTAACAGGAACAGCAAACAGACATGCTATGTACCAGACTTCAAAACCAATAGAAAATTATTATCGAAGAAAACTTTCCCCGTCTTGGGTAAATCTACTTCTATCAGCGAAAGACGCTATGAGCACTAATCTTGAAGATAGTTGTGTTCTTGGTAAGGAACAGAAACTAACTCACCTCTGCGGCTTTTCTCTATTCCTCAAAGCCCTTCTTCACGGTGGCATTATGTCTTTACCGGTCGTGCCGCAAGATGTCGTATGATCGCGACCTATCCAGAACTGCTATATGGTCGCGATCATGCGGACATCTATGGGGACTGATGGAGAAAGACGCGAAAAACAGTGACATAATGCTACCGTGAAGTAGGATCTTGAGGGACAGAGTTAGAAAAATCGCAGTATCGGAAAGACGAGAGCACTTTTCTGTTCTTTGGAGCACCCTTTTTTATCATACAATTTTCAGGGTTTACAAAGTTCAGTTCACACTCTACACTTGTATTGTTGGCTTTCTGGCTGGATTCTAAAAATCGCGTTTTTGGAGGAAGGGAATGCTTTATGGAGAGACTTCAGGGGAGTTCTCTTCCTATGTTGGTGCTGCAGCCCGAGGTGGGTCTTGGCCTCTCAACAACGTTCTACCACTCCTTTGTGTCTTGAGTCATCTTTTTTAATTCTTAATTTGCATTCTATGTAGATCTTCCTCGTCATTATTCCGTTTTGTTTATGGTCTGCCTTCACACCTCGTAGCTGTCGGTTTCCATTCTGTTATTTTCTTAGTGATTTTATCTGGATCCATCTTTTCTAGATGTCCGATCCATGCTACTCTCCTAGATTTTATTTCTTTAACATTAATTTTTGTTTAATCAGTATTGTTTATCATTTGTTTTCAATCATCAGATATTATCACCAAGTTTTGTAGGGCCATAGATTTTTCTCAAGATCTTTCTTTCAAATATACTTAATTTTTGTAGACTCTGTTGCTTCAGTACCCATACTTCGCACCCATAAACCACTATTGGTTTTATCGCAGTATTGTATAGTTTCAATTTTGAATATTGTGATAGGAATTTACTGTGTTTCTAATTCTATTAGAAATATTAGCCCGAGCATCTAGGTTCTTCAGTATTCCATCTATTACGATGTTGAAAAGGAGCGCCGAGAGGTCTCCTTACCTTTGACCTGAATTTATTTCAAAATTGTGAGAGTAGTCGTTGTTTATGTCTACCTTGGCCTTGGTATTATTTAATGTTAATTCAAGTACTCTGATAATTTTTGTTTGTACTCCAAGTGCAATAAGGCTATTATATATTGCAAATCTCTGAACTCTGTCAAAAGCTTGTTTAAAGTCAATAGACACATTGTGTATATCGATTTTATACTCGTATCCCTTTTCATAGATCTGTTTAACTATATGGATGTTATCTATTGTTGAGTGATTGACGCGGAATCCCTTTAGAAAATTTCCCAGATTGAGTTATATTATTTCGCTTAACCTGTTATATATCAGAAAAGAAAATATTTTGTTTGTTATATTCAGAAGGGTAATACCTCTATAATAATCACATCTTTTAGGGTCCCCTTTTCTGTAAATTGGACATATAATTCCTTCTAACCTTTGCTCGGGTATTTGTTCATCTATCCAAATGTTTTAATCAAATTATGGATTCGCTCTATTAATAAGTTTCCTCTAGCTTTTAGTACTTCTGCTATGATACTATCTGAATATGCAGTTTTATTTCTTTTCACGTCCTTTATTACTTCAGTTACTTCTCTATGTGTGGCCATATATAGGTCTATATTTCGCCCTTCCGTTTATTCTATATTTTCTTTTTTAGGTTCAATAGAACCTACTTATCTATTTAGAGGGCCTTGGTATTATAACATTCAATTCCTTAAAATATCCTCTTTCTCAGTACAAGCTTTCCTTGTAAATCTCTACAGCCTCCAATGTGCCCTGATGGTTTAACTGTGTAGTTCTTTATTTCTTTATAAAATTTCCTAGATTAATTTTGTTTCCTTGCTTTTTCTATTTCTGCCATTCTATTCTCAACCCATAATATTTTCTTCTGTCGGCATAGTTTTCGATGTTCTTTCTTCTTAATGTTATATTGTTCCATAGATACTCTAGTTCTTATATTAAGAGATTTTTGTCTCGCTTTTTTCTTATCCCGAGCTGATTTTATACATTCTTCGCACCACCATTCGTTCTTTTTTTCCTCCTTTCTCTCTTCCAAAGGCCTCATTGTCTACCTCTACTACGCTAGTTTTTTATATTTTACCATTCTCTTTCTATATTCTCTTCTCTAGGTTTCTCTATTCGTTTCTGATTTAATGCATTCTGATATTCGCTGATATTTATTGGGTGCTGTAAGTTCTGTTTATTCCATCTGCATACATTAAATTTAGGAAATATTTATTTCACCAATTCCTGTAACACAATCGTTTTAAGAAGGGAGTGATCTGTGTCACAACTCGGTCCTCTCCTTCAGCGAACATCTTGCATCAGCCTCGAACATCTCAAATTGACTACTAAATGATCAATTTGGTTAACCGTGACTTGGTCAGGGAATATCTGTGTGCCTTTATGTACTGATTTATGTTGAAATTGTGTTCTTGTCACAATTGGATTGACAGTTATTGCAGAATTGGCTAAATAATCACCATTATTATTAATGTTTTGTTGTGTTGTGAATTTTTCTACTATTTCCCTATATCTTTCCTCAAGCTCTAGTTGTGCATTAAAATCCCCAAGGACAATCATAATATCATGTTTTGGAGTTCTGTCAAGTATATCATGCAGCTCTTCGTAAAATGTTTCTTTGACTTCTTCTTCCTTGTCTTCCATGTGTGCATAAATATATAAGGCTCAAGTTATAAAATTTCCCTTTAATTCGCAGTTTACATAGATTTTTATTATAACTTTCTTGTACTAGTTTTCTAATTCCTTTTGTCTGACCTAGCTTTCGGTCTTGCCCCATCCTCTTCCCAGCTGCCATTTCTCGCCACCCAAACTACATATTTTCACATAATCTCAATTTTTCTATTCCCTAATGGCAAAACTGAAACATAATTTTAAGTACGGGGGGTCCACAAGTACTTATTCAGAAGCTATTATTATTGGAGTTTGATAATTAAATACTAAAGAAAAACGTATTTATTTTAGAAAATAGATTTATGAAATCGGATTACGAATGACATACAAATTGTAATTAAATGCAATGTCCCAAGTGCTCAAATTGTCGACCTTCAGCATTTACACTTTCCTGTAGTCTAATTTGTTCACTTAAGCACACTTTGATATGGAGTTCTTTATTATTATTATTATTATTATTATTATTATTATTATTATTATTATTATTATTTTGCATATCAGCCATTTCTGACCACGCATACACGTTCTCTTCCGACCCAAACATTATCCCGAAGAGAGATTAACGCGTGTCATAGGCAACTTTTCGCTTCCTTAATAAGACAATGTTGTTAATGCTTGAATTGTGAATAACACTTGATAATGAGTGTGATCGTGGGCTTTTAAATCATTCCAGCATTCGCCTGTATGATCGAGGGAAACAAGAAAACCACCACGTCCGAACGGCCACGGGCATCGAACCGGGCGTCTCGACTGCGAAGTCAGTGCGCCACTTTCCCTCGGTTCATATATAATAATAATAATAATAATAATTAATAATAATAATAATAATATATAATAATAATATATAAATAATAATATTTAGTTTAAATATTTATTTTTTATTGTTGTTGTCACTATTATTATTCCTCTAATTCACGACTTAAGATGTTATGGATTAGTTGATTATAAAGTCTACCCCGGGTTGCAACCAGCTTCCTAAGGAGCAGATCTAGGTACTATCGGTGTTTGTACAACGCTCTGAGTAAAAATGAGGACTGTTCCATACAAAGCATTGTCTTGCACGTCCCAGACTTTTGAATGACCTGGGAAGTTGGCCAAGTTAAAACTTTTGACGGACAAATCCCAGAGCTCGGATAACTATCAGGACGAGCTGTGCTTTTACGCCTCACATTTCCCTGATATCGATTTCCAAACTTTTGTATTCAAGACGTTTCTCTGCCTCCTTGTTTAGGACATTTTAATCGCATGGCACAACAACTTCTACAAGTAGACACGATTTGTTCTCCAAATCCCGGATAACAATATCCGGATGGTTTGCCGGTTTCGTGCGATCAATTTTAATTTTGTTCGTTGAACAATATTGTACACAGTCCAACAGAATTTCAAGGGCAAATCTGATTTTCCAGTAAATGTAACTACGCACTCTGTCGCCTTTTTGAGTATTAGGTCTTTGCTAGAATTGGTCAAGCCCAGACCATAAGATCAATGGTTTCTACTTGTTCCTGACAAATGTGACATTATTCATGGAAACGTTTGAGAACAGATTTTCATACTCGTAATGTCGTTTTTGCAACATCTGATCTTGGATAGCTATTAAAACTGCTTCCGATTCTGGCTTCTTTGTTCCCCTTTTAAGCCGCATAATAGATTGATCTTTATCGATCCGCAAGTAGTCCATTCTTTTTAGGTACTGTCCACGGCAGGGGCGAATCCAGAGAGGAATTTTGGGAGGGGGAATTTTTTATTCAAAATGTTTTGGTCGAATGTGTCACGTTACAGATTATGTAGAATGGCGCAGGCTAAAGTCAGCTTATGTTGCAATAAAATGTTTGTCGTTTTAATGTTAATAGTAATGTTACTGAAATATTTGCGAGGAGGAATTTCCCTCCCCGTGGATACGCGCGTCGTTCATGGAGTGGTTTGTCTCTCCACGATTTCTTTAACATTTTTTGTCTCATATTTCATGTTAAATAGAATCAGAAGTTCCATGTCTCTATTATTCTGCGTGTCTTGCCTAGCGTTCGCAATGCTTCTTGTTTGACTTACAATGACTCTGTTTTCCATTCTTCGATCAGATTTAATGACCTGCCTCATTAGTACGTCATCTTAGTGACGTACGTTCCCATCCCAACTCTTGTATTGTGTCAGGAGGCTTTAACTTGTCTGAGGCGTCTTCCCCTTCCTTACGTGACACATAAATTCTACGGCATTACCTCGAGGGTGGACGACATGACGTGTTGTAAGCAGTTCTCTATTTTTTCGATCCATGATTCGAATTTCTTGCTCAGTGCAGTTCACAAGTCCGAATCTGTATTCGGCTTCAGGCACCGCCACCAGTGGCGTGGCGTGAATTTTTTTCTGGGCTAGCAAAATAGAATTTGCCAACTGAAAAAATAACCATTTAAAGGTTCAACTTTTAGATGAACATTACACTAGCAATATTTTACATAAAATGTAATACACGCAAGAGAGAATAAAATATCCTAAACTGTATAATATGTAGGAGATATTAGAAATATTATCACTCACCCAAAAATACAATAGTATTCACAAATTGCTGTAAATGTGCATATTAAGGACGTGACAGAACATTCAAAAAATATATTTCTGTATTTAAAAAAACCAATTGGCCTTGACGTTATATTAAAGAGTACAATTTGCACTATTCTTTCAATAATTTGGAAGAAATAATTTGGAGTCGTTTCACAGAAAATGGCGTTTGAGCGTTTCTGAAAATCCAAACTTTTGAGCTAGTTCTGAATACGTTATTCTTATATCCTGTATTCTTTTGTTTTCTCAAAAATATATAATATTTTTGAAATATATATCACGCCTTTAATATTCACGTTTCACACACAAACACTATTGCATTTGTGACTAGAAGTGCTTTAAACTACTTTATATGAAGTTTTTGGAAACTTCAAGTTTTCTGTAAAAAGAGGTTCAAATTTCGCATTCACAGTAACGCTTAAACACGATATTTTAAATATAACGGCTCCAAATTTTTCAATGCAAATTGCCATTTAGGACAAGGTTTTACTCGTCTTTAATATTCTGAAAGTAATAATTTTGCTCTATTATTATTTATTTAAAAAATGTACTTTGGGCGGTGATGCATGGCAACTAGCAAGAGGATGAAGCTAGTCAGAATGGCTAGTCCAGACCAAAGAAAATACAAAACTAATACAAGAAAGTCTGTGCCATTCAGTAGCACCACTACTATTAATTTATTTTATCGATAAGAACAAATTTCGCTCCATCCTATGGTATACCGTATGTCTGATTTTCATAAAAACGTCAGTACTTTCGAAAATTGAATTTTTTTATATCGCAATCTGTTCCACAAAATTATATCTTTAAATCATTTTACCCTCACTGTTTTCAAAATATTGTAGTAGTTTTTGCGTAACTTGAATTACATACTTCAATAATTCAAAATTCTTTCGAGCCTGTCCTACACCATTAATACAAAAAACAAGTATTTCTCTCCTCGTATAATCTATTCTTTAATATTTCATCTTAAAATCGTTTTATATAAACTAATTTTACTTTCCCGTACACATACGTATATACGGAGTAATATACATAATATAGGGAAAGATAAGTAATATTGCGGGAAATTGAGTTTGATATTCCAACGGAAATACACGTTTTGGGGTCCTCTGATACTGAAAAAGTGTTGTTTTTTTTTTTTTCAAAACGTCCGTCTGTCTATCCGTCCGTCTGGTGTACGTGAACAACACTAGCGCCTAAACCATGCGTAGGATTTTTTCCAAATTCAAGAAACCCTTTGGCCTGAGTCGATTTTGCCTCAGTCATTTGAAAATTATTCATTTGTTTTAGGTGGCACTTGACATAAAGCCTCTGGGACAATTTCCAAATTTTCACAAAAATGTCTCCAATTTTTTCTTTAAATTTCTTCTGAGAATATAGTAAAATACACTTATAAAGGTGGCATATGTCCAATTTTCACGGTTAACTCTAAATTTTCGAAAGTTTCAAAAGTTCTGATTTTTCAGGATCGTCCAACAACTATAAAATTAAAGATAAACATTTTTCCTTGAAGTGAAATTTGTTGTTAATAATTTGTTCTTTTATTAAAGTCATGTTCAAGTTTTTGAAAATTTTGTTGTTTTAGCGCAATATTGCGCGCAATTTTAAAAAATTACCCAAAACAAGAGTTTCTTACTTTAAATTTTTTGCAAGAATAGAGTAAAATACATATATAAAAATGACATAGGTTCGATTTCCAGTGTCAATTCTGAATTTTTGAAAATTGCAAAAGTTTTAATTTTTCCGGCATCATTTTTCAACTATAAAATTAAAGATAGAGGTTTTTCTTCATATAAAATCTGTTGTTCATAGTGAGTTTTTCTTTGAGGTCAAGTACAGATTTTAAAAATTTTAGTAGTTTTCGTGCAATATATGCAATTTTAAAAATAACAAAAACAAAAGTTTTTAAAACATTGTTCCAGATCGAATTTTTTTAACTTTTGGTAGGGATTGTGCTAAATGCGCCCTATAAGATGATATAAACGCCATATTGCTCTATTTTTTTGTTTTTTCAAAAATTCCAAAAATGTAATTTTTTGAATGTCATTCATGTCGTTAATATTTACATAAGCAACAATTTGTTCACATTATTATATCTATGAGTAAATGTGCTTTAAAAACTGTGAGATAAAGCTTCTCGAAAACTCAACTGTTTTCGGTCAAAACTAGTTCAAAAGTTTGAATTTTCAGAAACGCTCAAACGCCATTTTCTGTAAAACGACTCCAAATTATTTCTTCCAAATTATCGAAAGAATAGTGCTAAATGCACTCTTTAATATAACGTCAAGATCATTTGGTTTTTTTAAATACAGAAATATATTTTTTGAAAGTTCTGTCACGTCGTTAATATGCACATGTACAGCAATTTGAGAATACTATTGTATTTTTGACAAGAAGTGCTTCAAATGATTTCAAATGAAGTTTCTCGGAAACTCAAAAATTGTCTGTGAAATAGTGCTTCAAATTTCGAATTTACTATATCGCTTAAGCGCCATTTTCTTAAAAACGGCTCCAAATTTTTCAAAGAAAATTGCATTTCAGTACAAGAATTTACAGTTATTTAATATTCCTAAAATAATATTTCCGTTCTGCTCTTAGGAAACCAAAAATTAAGAAAATTTCAAAAATTAATTCCGGCGGCGTTAGATGGCAGCAGGCAAGAGTACGTGGCAAGTTCGAATAGCTACCCGAGACCAACGAAAATAAAATACTAATATGGGCATGTATGTGCCATTCTGTAGCCCCATTAGTTTCCAAAATGTTAGTCGTTTTCGCATAATTTTGAATTAAATTGTTTGAGGTCGGTGTGTGAACTGACGGTAAATGATTGTGTAGCGAAATCCAATTGAATTTCTTCGATTAAAAGCCAATGAGAATAGATGAAGATGGTCTGTCGGAAGTACTGGAATGGTGCCTCTTTTTGCACTAAAGCGCTCAGTCGTGTTTTCAATTTCTTGGGTTGGTCTTTGTTTGTTTGGTTAAAAACACACCGTGGGTTAACTCATATGGTCTCGAGAATGAGGTATGCTGAACGATGCGGTTCGCGATGGTTCTCGCGAACCGTTCATCGGATCTCTCCGAAATCACCCAATGGACTCTAAAACATGTAGCCATTTTGGAAAATGGTGGATGTCAGTGGTTGGTACAAGCTACCGTTCATCTAGACGTTTTTGATAAGCTCGAATTATGGTACTAGAATTAAAGTAGAGCAGTGTTTTGCAGAAACGTCTGAAAAGCAAAAGCTCAATCATGGATGCTGTGAAGGCTTTTAACGCAGAGGTAAGTGAACTTTGTTTACGTGAAATGACCGACGCTACGCCGAAGGGAAGTAATTCGTGAACACCCGACGCTTTCCTGGAAATGGTCACAATTGCAGTTTTTTTCTGTGTTTGATTAAAACTGTGGCTATTTCTTGTGGCACCGCAACGCATTTAAGAAGATTTGTGGGTTTATAGTGGCTAAACAATTGGAAAGTAGTGACTACGTCTTAGGTGCTTTTATCATGCAGTACTGTGAAGGTTATGTTAATAAAGATTGTATTTATTATGTAAAGTGTGAGAGTGTGTTTGTTAGGATGTATACTAATATTATTAATAATAGCTTACAGCTTTGTACGAGGTGAAGCCACCTATATCAAAAGCAAAAATGACATCGATAACAAGAGGAGCTATAAAAGCCATAAAGTTCTACAAACATGTTGTGCAAAGTGTAGAAAAGTTTATACAAAAGGTAAGTGAAACGAAATATTGTGATGTAAATTTTGTGAACAAGTTTTGAAAAATATAGCGAAGAATGTGACCACATTGCCACTTGCCACGTGAGTGTAAGAAAAGTAATTTAAGTTGTATTCTTAAGGAGCTAATCTATGTGCCCAACAATATGCTATTCACTTCTTGATATTAATACCCACCTATGTTTTCTTGGTGTTTTACGCATCAGATCAATTTTGTGTCTTCATTACTTTTTATTTTCTGTAGAATTTTGCTTTACCTTTGCTTTTAACATTTTAAATTCTTGTTACACTTTAGCTTCATGGATGACGTGCTTTTGCTTTTCATTGTGCATGAGTATTTTACTAAACAATGATTTGTAAATTTGGAATAATCAAAAAGATATCTCTTTCTTCCCCTATTTTTTTAAGGTCTCTAATTAGATTATAAAAGCAGTCTCTTAATAATGTTTAATCATCTTGGTGAATTAATATAAAAATATCGTTACACTTATTCTTTGTGAAAGCAAGCTTTGAAGAAAGAATTCTAACTTTATCCTGTTTCATTAATTGAAGAAATGCTATTTGTTATAATCTTTAAATTTTATCTTCACTGCATTTCTTTCTCTAATATGTATTATACACTTTTTTGTATTATAATTTAATTGCTAAAACTTTTAAGAAGTAACATCATGCCTGTATTTGGTGTATCTGTAATTTTAAGTAAAAGATTAGGGATATTCTCATCCAAGTAAACAAATTTCTTGGATATTTTCATAAAGTTAATCATTCAATTAATTCATCTATGAGAGTGTGTAATTCCTATTAAATTTTTATGCAAGTTGTTTATTACATTCTTGTTTAATAGAAAGTGTTTGGTGAAGTTATTACCTCGTTTCATCTGAACTAACTGATCTCTATAAGAAATTGAAACAATGTTTGCATTTATACCCAGTTGCCATTTATTATATGAAAATTCGATATTAATTGTTACTACCAAGAATATTAGAATATTTAACAATTGTTCTGAAAATTTGTTGCACATGGTAGTCCAATAGACTAACATAACTACTCTATTTAATAATACTATTATTCTGTTATAACAAAATAGTCACTTAAATCAATGCATTGTTTACTCTACTGTTTGCTCTTGAATTCCATCATCCATCATGCTGTGGAATTTTAGTATTAAATTCTATTTGTTTTCTTTAATTCTAGTAATTTTTTATTAAGTTCTGTCATTTGTTGGTTTCTCACACCTTGGTTTCTGTTAACGCCCTGCAAATTGTACTAGTGTATCTACATTGAGAAATAGCCTTTGCCCCACAGAGCACTCGCACACAGAATGATAACTCCAATGTTAAAAGGAAGGATGAGGAAACATTGACTTCCTCTGGTAGAACTACCATTAACTACACGAGTATTTCCCCTCTTATGTACCCTTGCTTCTACTGATGTGCCGATTGTGTTTGTGAACACTTATGTGGGAGTTCAAAATGAAACATTTTTCATGTCCCACAAAAAATATGAGACATTTATTGCCTTTCCCAAATTCTTAAGCCTAATTAACTGCTTTATAGTGTCTTATATATTTATTTGAGGAGTCACTCTATACCTTTCCTACTGGAAAGAAAGAAGAAGAAAAAATATTCAGGCATTGAATTTGTAGGTAAAGAGGAGAGGGTCTTTGTAACAAATGACAAGAGCTATGAGCTTGGTAAAATCATAAAGAATAATGATTAGAGACCAATATTAGTCAGAGGCATGTATTTAACACTTAATAATAAAATTTAGTGAACAAAATTTAAATAGGTTAATTGTGAAGAAGCAAAGCAATTAAATACAAACTAGTTGGTTAGTGAATTTGAATTACTGAAAAACTGTCAGCAAAAATCTTTTTGCAATAATAAATATCTCTGCTTTACACATCGTCATTACTATTGAGCAGAGAATTTAACTAAAGCAAAATTTTCACACTTTTTCATAGTTCATAGTTCTGGTAGGGAAAAAATGGGTTTCCAAAAGTTAATAGTTCATGTAAAAACTGAATTAGTTTTCATTACAATATGAAATATCCATCACTCATGATCCCACAAATGATACTGAATTTTATAAAAGTAACAGCACCATTCATTGAATTTCACATGAACAAATCAATTCACAATCAATTAGAATTCATTTTAGTTTTCTTATGTACTTTTACATGACTTGTATCCCTTTTTACAAATTTCTTATTAGAGATGTGCTTAACGTGAATTTAAGACATACATTAACAATAACTAAGCAATTACAAGCAAACTTTGAGGTCATGTAAGCAGCACTAAACAAATCTTTAAAGCTACAAATGGGTACTATTTAATTCTCACGTAAGTGAGAAAAAAGATAAACAAAAAACAAGACTTAAATTAAAAATTAAATGAAAGGTGAGAATGAATGTTACCAAGCATTTTATCAAAGTAATAACAATATTAATGCAATTTGAGAAATTAAAATTAAAAACAATAAACACTTCATAAGTGATTTTCATCAAATTACTACTGAATGACATAAAATACTGAATTACAACCCCAAGAATATAATAAAATGAAATCGATACCTTTGTCATAAGCAGAAATTGTTTACGTCTGGTCAGCAGATCAAAGGCCCTAGGAATTTCAGCTGTTGGCACTCCGTGTCACTGACACAATAATTCCTTTATACAACTGAAAATTTTTATGAGCACTTCTCCAGGGACAAGTTTACACAATACTTCTATACGGAGAAAATAGCATTATTAATAACGTTCATCATAATTTAGTGACATTCACTTTCAATTTGGGTTACAGATTCAGAATAAATGAAAATAAAAAAATGCATATCAGTGGTGTGTAAGCAATGGAAGTATCTAACAATAAGATTAAATAAATTGTAGTTGACAAGCAAAATCTATTAAAATTTGAAATGACTAAAGTGAAGGCATTTAGAATAATTAGTGAAATGTAATTAATTATTGGATTCCATAATGTATATTTAACAGTCAATGGGATGCACAAGACAGAACTATGTTTATGAGACATCATCTCACTTATGTTAATATATCTGAAAGTTGATACCATCATCAGAATCTGGTGATACAGCAAGAAAGTAATATAAACTGGTTTTCCTAACACAAAATTTCACAGATGCATATTAACACACACCTAACGCACTCGGAGAAAAAGTATGAAATACACCTTGACTACCTGACAAGGAGTATATGATAACCACACTTGTGGCGCTCCTGGTGGAGGGTATCGATTTGCCCATATTCTCCTTATGGAGTGATCCATCCATATTTGTGTGTGCTTTGCGTTCAGCTTTTTTAAGGTTTGTAGACTAGAGTGAACCTCAGAGAATGAACATTTTTGATTTACTGTATCCAATATGCCAAAATTAAATAATTTCTGCTCATTTGATTTTGTTGGTTCAGAGATTCAGAGAAATAGGTTAACCCTCTGGGTACCAAGCTCTACATGTAATGCTGAGTACCAAGTGATGTGCACGTATACCCCACTTGAATATTATACAAGATTTCTTTGAAATATGAAATAACTAACTAAAATATGAATATTTTAATTATTTTGAGCAGTTAAATTATAATGAAACTCAAATTAATATAATTAAGTATCTTAATCCCTATATTTCTTTTTTATTACACCAATACACTTACTCAAAATACTTCTTTTAAGGTAATTCGTGTTTTAGGCAACTGATGCATATTTTTATTGTTTTTGAATCTGAAGGTTCACGTAAATCGCAAACACTTAATGCATCTTGTTCTACTCTTTCTATCTCTGTTTCTAGTAATTAATAAGGAATACAAATTGGTGACATGGAATACCACGCAGGATAAATGTACTCCAGTACTGGTTTTTAAATAGAAAACGTAAAACACCTTAAAACTATTACTTTCTTTCAGACGTAATTGTCTACGGAAGTATTTTGGACTATGTAACTAAAATTCAATAACGCAATAAGTACATAAGTAAAATAGTGAATTTGGGTACAAAAAGTACGTAAGTAAAATAGTGAATCCACATAATCACATTCAAACCACTTTCCAACACACATTTATATTCACTTTTCTAACACTTCGCAATCACAAAGAATCAGAGTGCAAGAAACTTGGCTAACCACTTCAACAGCTATCCCAACCTTCACAAAATATCAAAATAAAACTGCAAAAATAACACTATTCAAATTTCACTGCGACAGGCAGAATAGTTATGGTGCTCTGACAAGATACTAGAACATGAAGGATGTAACCAAGAAAGTTACCAATCAGAAAGCAATAAAATTATTATATTAATTTGATTTTAAAAATTTATTTAGATCTCCCATGCCATGCTTGTAATTACGTATCATGTTATGAACATTGCTCACTGCATATACCCCTCAAAATGCCCCAACTATTCCTCAACCCCTCCACTCTGGATTCTTCCCTTGCCTGAGTAGTGCAAAATGCCAGTTTAAGTGACTTCCTTAGGTTGTATCATGATCTGTACCTCTGCTGAAAAATATCCAAACAGCAAATCACAAATTTAAATGTCCTCCTTTAGTACAGTATTCCTTGTGCCCAGAACAGTTTAAAAGTATGGAATGATTTGTTCAAACATAAAGACATTCACAAATTCACTTGGTCTAAAAAAATGAGTAAAACCATAATAAATTATGTTATTGGCAAACGCAACAACAAAATAAAGGTGGAAGATGTTAGTCTACAGAGGAGCTGAGTGCAACTCGGACCATTTTTTGTTGAAATCAAGTGTGTATCTTCGTTATGTAAACAAGACACAGCAATCGGAAATTCATGTATCCAGTACCATAGGGGAAAAAAAGAATACAAAATGTGTTTGCTGGAAGATCCATCTATATCTTTCTTCTACAAGCTCAGGTTGAGTAAGAAACTGTTAGAAGAGAACCAAACAACTACACAAACACTACAATGGAATTGTAGATGCCGTACATCAAGCAGCTTATGAGAGCCTCAGAGAAATAGAACATACTGGTGGAAAAGGAATAGGTGACACATGATGGAATAATTCTTTGACAGCAAAAGTGTTAGACAAGAAAATTGCTTATAATACATGGTTAAGCACTCAAGATATTGAAGACTGAGAACGTATCATCAAATTAGTAGAGAAGTTAAACAAGAAGTAAGAAAAGCAAAAAATGAATCTTGGGAAAGAGTAAGTGAAGATGTGTAACAGAGTATAAACAATGACAGATCAAAGAACGCATGCAAAATAATAAATAACTTCAGACAAAATTAAAAGCAAAATTCAATACTACAACTTACAAGTATAAACCAATTTAAAATATATTATGAAGAACTTTTGAAAGAAAATGGCTTGCATTTACTAACATGTACAACACAGAGCACGAGAAACCAGCTGATACGGAATATATTACAGTGAGAGAGACTGAAAAAACGATACAGAGATTTAAAAATGGAAAAGCAGCCAGTCCAGGATTGGTAAACATTGAATTGGAGAAGCATGGCCCCAGTTTATTATTGGATCTTCTTACTCTTAGTGTACAATAGATGCTTAATGGGGGAAGAACTACCCAAGAACTTCAAGAAAGGATATATCTCACATCTACAAGAAAGGTGATAGGAAACAGTGTGCAAATTAGAGGCAAAACTGTCCTTAGCAGCCTTGGCCAAGTGCATGGGAAAATATGAAAAAACAGACTGGAAAGAGACCACCTTGATGTCGAGAAACAGAGCGGCTTTTGAGCGGGGAGCTTATGTATTGATAACATGTTCAGTATTAGTCAGGTAACCAACAAATGTCTTGCCCATAACTTGGAGATTCATCTTGTGTTTATAGGTCTGCGTAAGGCCTGTGACACTTCCATTATCTATTCTATGGATGATGATGGAGAAACAAAACGTAAATATGCAATTGAATAGAGACAATGGTTTTTAGAGTGATAATACGAGCCAAATTAAAGTAGGGAGAAAAGCTTCAGCACCATTTCCAGTAAGTAAAGGTTTACAACAGGGATGCTATGTAGCCCTGATTGTGTTTAAAATATATTTGAATGAAGCCCTGAGAAAATGGAGGAAGAAATGTAATATGGGTATTAAAATTAGTGGCTCTGTTATTCTCTCGTCACTTCGCAGATGATCAGGTGGTGTTCACTGAAGATGAAGACAATTCTCTACTCATGATGCGAAAATTGTATAAAGAGTACTTGGAATGGGATTTATAAATAAACCGTAACAAGACTGTATGGTATATGGTTGTAGGAGGAAGTGCTAAAAGGCTGAAACTAGATGATGGTTCGGAAGTAAAACCCGGTCAAAAATTCATATAACTCTGTTCAGAAACAAACTCAAATGGAGGCAGTATGCAAGATATTAGAAGCAGAATTGAATAAGGTAGAGTGGCTATGAGACAATTACATGCACTGATATGGAAAGATAAATGAAGTAAGAGGGGGAATAAGAAAATTATATAAGACTGTTGTAGAGAATATTGTACTTTACGTGTATGAGGTGTGGGAAGTAACAAAAAAGAGCGAAAATAAATTGAAAGCAATGGAAATGGACTTCTGATGCCGAAGTTGCAAACTGACTTTAATGGATAAAGTTGAGAACAAAGAAATTAAACGTAAAGTGAAAGTTAGTTTTAATTTAATTGACATCATAGAAGTGAAAAGACTAAATGGTGTGGGCACATATAAAGAATAAACTAAGAATGTTGGCCCAAAATATTGTGGAAACGGCGACCAGCTACCCATTGACAAAGAGGAAGACTAGACTTTCATGTCTTAATTATATATTATGTGTCTTACATGTCTATATTACTTAATAAATAAGAAACTACTATTTTTTTTTTAATTTATATTGAGCTATGAAGTGCAAATTATAAGATTTGAAATTTTGGGAAACTAGAGAATTTACAGGGATACAATTTGTATTTACCCCTTTCTATGATCTGCATCAGAAGATGAGATATTCTTACAAAAATGAAGGAAAAGGGAAATAATGTTTCAATTTTTATTTTTTGTTATTGATTTCAAAGGTAAAAATTGGATATAAATGCCTAAAAAAAATGATTGAAACATCTTTATTGTATATAGAAAAGTGCAAGGATAATTAAAGTCAGTCTGTCGTAATATTGTTAAAAAAATTTATACCTGTACAAGAAGCTAAAAAAATTTTTTTTTTCTTTTGTACAAGGTAATATGTATCGGGTAAATGGATTTAAATCTGGCAAAAAAATAGTTTTTTTAAAATTTCAAATATGATTTTCAACATGAAAAATTTTTATCCTTGAAGCAGTTTTGCCTATCTTAGTCTGCTACCACGTTTAATTATGCATTCGACATTATCTTGTTTGTGTATACATATGCAACACATGTACGCACATTCCCTTTTATTTATATATAGATGTGAACAAACCACTATTAAGTTTATGAAGTATGTTTTATGCTCTGTAATTTCTGAATCATAATTGTTAACCTGTGATGTGTAAAACTGAATGTTTTTTCTCCCCAAAATGGTTTCATAATTCCGTATATGTAAATATTTGCTGCAATCAACTGAATGTGGAATTTGTAATGAGGACTAGTTCAGAGGTTTATTTAGATGAAATGAAAGATATCGTGGTTCACATGAATTTATAGCCTAATTTTGATGGCCTTGCAGTTTATTAAAACAAAAACACACAATAATAAATAAAATGTATGTGATGAAACTAGACCCAAATATATTGAATGGTACAAGGTGGTGTAAGTGTAGGTGAAGGCAGTATAAAGTTAGAGGATGTTAGTAGAGGTGTAAGTTCCCCTTGAGAAAGTGGGTGAGGAGTGGGACCAAGAAGGGATCAGAAGAGGATTTCAAAAATGCTTGAATAGTGTGAAATTATTCTAACATTCTCTATTCCAACATTTATTTCTAGAATTTTTTTTTCTGTAGGAATAGAAAGTGTGACCAGTATTTGAGATGATTTGCAAAGTGCCATTTGTTTGTCAGGATTAGACTTGTTGTTATTGAAATGATTCCAAAAATCTTTGCCGTGTGTATTTTTATAGTATAGATACTTTTTGTGGCGTACACCCCTACAGCCTTAATAAATGAGAAGTCAAGAGAGAATTTTAAGGTGGGGGAAAATTGCACTTTCACGTTTTAAATATTCATATTTGAAAGTAGTGTCTAAATTAGTCAGATCCAAATGCAGTCCTGCAACAAATGGCCCACTTAAATCCGTTTCTTGATTTCATTCATGCATTACCCCAAAACTTGATTTTAGAGGTCTCACTGTAATGTACAAAATCAGATCTTTGGATATTCTGTTATGTTTTTGGAGTCAGGTCAGACAATTATTTTCTTTTTCATAAGTTCCTGAAGAAGACCAGGAAGTTTGCATCTTCCTGGAAATTGTAATAACGATTCCTATATATCTCATCAAAAATCGATTTGATTTCAAACAAAAGTTAATTTCACTATCATCCAAGAAAGACTGCATTATTAATTATATTACAAAGTTGGCATCATCTCTTGCTTCTGATGTCACAATTTGAGAATGTGAAAATCAGTGTAATTAATATTTGTATTTAAGTAATATCCATTGTTTTGTATTACATATTAACAGTTTATATTTTATTTTACAGTGTAAGCCAGAATACAAGGTTCCAGGCTTGTATGTTATTGATTCAATTGTGAGACAATCAAGACACCAGTTTGGAGCTGACAAAGATGTATTTGCACCCCGATTTGCAAAGAATATGCAAAATACTTTTGTAAATCTTTTTAAATGTCCTCCAGAAGATAAGGTTTGTGGATTTTTCTAACTTTTATTCTGAATTTGACAGTATTTCATGCCTCCTTTGTGATACAATTAACTTCTTTTAAATAAGTTTTGATGAAAAAGGATATTTTCATACTCTTTTAATATTACTTGGTTTCGGTAACCTAAAGGAAATAATTGAATTAAGATTTGATTAATTTACCCATGACTCACCCTCTGATTAAACTAATGATTGCACTGAAAATGGGATCTAGCTGGGCAACATGAAACTACCAACCTTCCCAAAAACCCTTCTTGAAAAACATTGGTATATTTGCAAAGATCAGCGAGCAAACTCATTGAAACTTCTCTTGGTCTGAGCACAGGGACAAGTATGGATACTTTAGATAAAATATCACTGATATGTAAGATACCATGTAATAATTGCACTCTTCTAAAAACTAAAATTAAGCATTTAAAAAATTATTGATGGAATTAAGAATGGTTGGTTGAAACAAAAATTTAATGGGATGTATATTAAAAGTCAAATGTGATATTTATGTTTTGTTTATTATTGCAACTTATTTGAGAAAATTTAAGTTAGAAACAAAATTAAGTTTGGACTTCAAAATCGATGATATGGATCACTTTTCACACAATTTATTCCTAGAGGAAAGGATGATACAAGCAGCATAATTTTGTTTGTAGGTATGGGTGCATATTAGTAGATTTTCTGCACATATATCACTAAAATTTTGGTACACTTATTTATAGCTTTTCAAAACTTACAATTTTGCAGCTTTTCTCAATTATGAATCTTGAATGTCTCGTATATTACTGAAGGTAAAATCTGAAATTTGCACAACTTCTTTTTTCAAATGTCTTCTCAGATATATATTGTCATCAATAAAGAATTATCTTAAATTATGAATTGAACAAAGAAATTATATCAGAAACAACGATCGTTGTGTCAATGCACTCCTGAACTGTGCAGATAGTATGTACACAATTTTAAGAAGTGATTTCTTTGGTGTTGGTTTGTATTTCCAATACAGTAACAGATAATCAAATAGTTTCTATTTTTTTTTTTTTTATTGAAGTTCTTTTCTATGGTGTTTACATGTATTGAAATTAGCTCCTGCAATATAAAACTGTTTAATACAAGGAGTGAATAAAAACAAGAAAATTGAAGTCTTCTCTTTTTAAAGGTTTACTTTAGTCATGTAGTATAATGAAACAATATGGGAATTGTTTTGAGTTTGAGGACAAGATTGAAGTTTAATCCAGTTGGCTAAGATAAAATACTTTTTACCACAATGTCTTTATGAATGTGTGTGCTCACTCAGGCAGATTAGAAACTTTTGAGCTCTAACTTGGACATTCCTGCAGTTGCTCTTATCAGCTGGATGTTTACAGCCAGGCTAATAAAGTCACATAAAGGCTAATAAGTCAAGAGTATTCCGGAGATTTAAGAATTTAATAACATGAAATTACAATTTAGTAAAATTTAAAAATTAGTTATTGTATCTATTTACTGTATATGCTTGAAAACAAGTATGAGCTGACACATTCTAAAAGTAACAGTATGAGTACATGTATTTTGTCATGAAATATTATAGTAAAATGAAATAATTTGTGTAGAGATTAAGAGGAATTATTAAAACAAACTTAAACTTCAAATACATGTTACATATTGAAATCTGATAAAAATCAGATATATCTAATTTAAATAATATGTGATTTTGTAATCCTGAGTTTTGAAACCCTAATTAAAAGAATTTGTTTTCAATTGACAAGGCTGGGACAGCCAGAGATATTCATTTTGGAGAAATCCTTTGTACCTAGTGCTTCCACAGATGCTTGGAAGGACAGATGGATGTTTTGATAAAACACACTTTTTTGGTATCAGGGTATCACATTACTCCGTATATATGTACATATATACGAGAATAAAAAGATACTCTGAAATTTTTTTAAGGTTTTAGAAAAAATAATTTTTATTTTGAGGAAATACGAGTTAACGAAAGACAGAATGACTATCTGTCTGTAAGTCTTGTTACATGTTCACAAATAGAGCAGTGTTGTAATTTGGTAAAACTGGTAACGGAATTGTATGTGTTACTTCTCACCTGTTGCATAAATTATATTTTAGTTAAGAAAGTGGTGCTGAAGTGTGCTGGTTAAGCATAAGTTGTTGTCAACTTAAATTTTGTATAACTGTCTTCTACACATGATATTGGTTTAAGTTCAAGTTTATTTGTACTTCAATCTCGATATTTATCGATTTCTTTTATATTATCACATGTAAAAGATTGTCATTGATTCTGCATGTACAATTACTATTCATTCTGTGATACTTAATCAATTTTACATATATACCTTTATATTAAATTTCATTTTTACTTACTACAACCATTGTAAGGGATATTCCTGTAAATAAATAACTAAATAAATTAAATCACCTACAGCCACTGATTTGATAGTGAAATGTGTGCTCACATTCCTCCTCAAAGTTTTGCTGTTTTCTTTCTGGCTTTGAGTGAGAAAGATGTTTGAAGAACAAAAATATGTGTCGGGGCTGGGATGTAAATCTGGTGATTAATGTCAACTGAAATGTAATCTTGACAAATTAAAATTTTAATTCAGTTTTCAATTGATTGAGAAAGTTGACATGATAGTTAATTGAAAAGTAATATTGTATATGTATAATTGTGATAAATTTTCTTTTAAATGTGTGTTACTTTTTGTTTCAGAGTAAAGTAATTCGCGTTCTCAACCTCTGGCAAAAGAACTCAGTATTTCAATCCGAAGTGATTCAACCACTCTTTGATTTAGCAGATCCCAATCATCCTATTCATAAACAAGAAATAACTAATGTTACCACCAATAGTAATGGTTCAATTTCAAGCATGGTTAATTTATCTAATGTCACTAAAACACCACCGTCTGTAAATAGAACACCTACAAGCCTCAATAAGACCCCATTGCCTGGTTCCAAGGCATCAAATGATGTTAATCCTGCAGTATGGCTTAATCCTCAAACACAATTGGATACAAGCACTGCCCTTTTGCAACTGTCTGGCCAGGCAGCAGGGGTAAGTAGCATTAAACAAAAAAATACAGAGTAGCATGTGCATGCATCTGTGCTGTTAAGTCTCAATAGTGAAAGACCAGTATATAATAAACTTGGCAAAAAAAGAATTGTCATTTTCTGTAAAAAATAAGTCATCAAATATTAAAACAATTTAGGAGGTTATGGTTATTGTCTTTTGGATGTGTGTGTTTAAAGTAAAATAACTCCTGTTGTCGTAAGTCTAGGGTACACACAATTCTTTTTACTAAAAATATTTTACTGGACTTACGTGCACATTGGTCCTTTCACTTCTAATATTTGATACCAAAAAATTCAGTGCTATTTCATATCTGAAATTAACCATATCACCCAATAATGCCAATCGTTCTTAGCAAGGTGTGTTGTAAGCAGTATACTCAGAAAGAGCTTTAATAAGTTGCATTTTCTACAGCTGGGTTCTGTGGAGGTTGACTCGATTTGGTATCAAAGTGAACATGTAAAATGCTTAAGCTCCATCCACTTCTTTCATTATAAAGCCTTTCTATTTTGTTTGACTTTCTAACACAAATTTTGAAATCTGAATCAAGAAGGCAGACTGAAACTTTATTACTTCACTAACAGCATTACTGGGGATTGGAGCCCCTCACTACTTTACTTTTCTTTCTACTGGCTTGTCACAGGTCAGGCAGTCACTTTATCATCTGCTCTTTACTCGTTTGGGAAGGAGAGTGGGAAAATTCTTAATTTTAATTTCTCTTCAAGAGTTTCTCTGAGAAAATATTTGGTACTATGATTTCCAATAACTGTAAATGAGAGTTCAAGAAAGGTATGCAACATTTGGTAATCATTGGTCTCCAAGTAATATTAATTTTATTATTGAATTTATTTTAAAACATCATATTGCACAATTTCAAAAGTGGACACCTGAAGAAAACTCCATCCTAGGATTGAAACAGAACAAATAAAATGAAACATCATTCATCTGATCATTTTTCAGTATATGAAATTATTTGACATTCATAATAACATATTAACAGCCACAATTGTTGTCTGATGAATCAATCTCAATGTCGAGCATTTCAAATTAAAATTGGGCTTTAATTTACTAAATATATTTAATTTGTGTAATGTCATTCTTTAACACAATTGGGTCATAGCCTCAGCCAAACTTTTTTCCACAAATTGTAAGGTTTGGGGGTAAATTTGGAAGGTCGAATCTTCTAAACCAATGTATGTAGAAGTCAGATTCTCTTTTTATTTTAAAGCAACATTCTTCTATTTATGAAGTTAATTTTTTTTAACGCTATCATTTTAAGTAAATTACAAATTTTTACAAATTCTGTTAATATTAGAACATTGTGTCTATTGCAATAATGAAGAAAACATTACTTTTTATTCACAACAATTAGCTTGGTATGGTAATTGTGAGGAGAGCTCCTTAGACGTCACTGCAAAGTGTATGCACATCTGTGTATTCTAAAGCAATTTAATACCACTTAATGGCAGCAAAGAAAATCTAGAGGTGTTTTTAGCTGCTTTGTAGATGTTGAGGTAGAAACCATCTTGAATAGTCAGTGAATAGAAAAATGGTATGACATGAGCAGATATACAGTATAAAATGCAAGTCTGTGGATTCTAAGGGTGTCATATTTCAAGGCAAACTGTCGGCATCTATAGAGTCTAGGTCATCAACCTAAATGTGTTAATCAATATCGAAGCGTTCAGAATTGAAGATGAAAATTAATCTGTCATGGAAATGTAGTGAAAAAGAGATTTGAAGATGATCATTGCTTAATAAATGCTTTATCGTTTTCATGAAATTAGTTTCAGTGTTGCTGCTTTGCTCATGTTCTTCAATTAGTCTAATTTTCTCACCAAGAGAACATTTTCAATTTGCTTCCTGACTTCATAAGCACTTGATTAACACAATACCTGCAACTTGTCAAACTGAACAACTGTAAATGTTGAGAACCACTGAACCCAAAGCATGCAATACAAGTGTGGAAGAATAGCTCTTCACATCTCTCCTTCCTTCACATGGGCTTGTGGAAGTCAGTTATTACAAATAAACATTGGCCTGGTGGAGCACAACTCTTTTGAGTCTCTCTTGGTACAATGTCACTACACTTCGAAGTTCAAATTTAATTTTAAAACAAATCGTTTTCTGTCTAATCCAGAATTTTTAATATCACACTAAAAATTCCATCCCCTTTCCGTGTTATTCAGATTTCCAGCTTATCCAGTATACTTTGCATTGGAAAATATTCCATACTGAAATTTTTCTGGCAAAGGCAGGTTTCCACCTTCGGCAGGTTGTACTATATACGAAACACTTGTTGCACTTCTCACTGCCAAAGAAAGCGTGAAGTACAGGGAGTATCCACAATGTTTGAAGTGCCAGGAAAATGTTTTTTTTTAATACTAAATTTGCATACCTGAAGTAATCAATGAATCGCAAGAATGTTTGTATAGATATGTAATCTGCTAATAATTCTGCCTGTATATAATTTTGTGTTAATAAACTCTTATTTCTACATGCCATGTTTCACGCACATAGTCCACAGTCAGCAACAGAATCAGCCCCTTTAGAATATGCAAGTGGTTGGTTGAAGGGGGGGCTGGTTACTTAACAAAATTGTGGTTTGTTGGTGGTTAGTGGTGAATATTGCAGGGTTGTTCACTTAACTGCACGAGTCTAGCACTGGTTGCTCCACCATCTCTGAAAAAATTTCATCTTTATTTATAAATTCCTACGTTTAGGTTGTACAAAATAATTTAAAAAATAATTTATTGAATGTAATTCACAAATGGCAGCCAGTTTTGTTTTAAGCTGCATGCTATTTTTCATGTTGGAAGATGGTTTTGTAAATTACTGAGGGCTAGGGTGTTGAAAATTTTTAATTTGGGTTTGATTCAGTAAACTCTGGCATATAAATCAGAGATATTTATCATAAGTAATACTACGAGTGCTTTGGAAATTGACAATAAATTTCCGACTCACGAAGCGAGGAGGGGATTTATATGATTTCCAAAGCACGAGTGGTATTTAATTGGACTGTTCCACTAGTGAAATTATGTCCAACAAGAGTTCCAAAATGCACCAAATATTGAAAATAACTGACATCTGTGTTAAAATCACATGCAACACAGCGATCAATGTAGTATACCGCCACCTAAGATGGGTCACAGTTTATGATGAGCCAGTAGGAAGAAGCAGTAAGAAAAATCGGATAGAGAAAGCGATAAACTTTTTGAGATACACTGCCCTCATGGGGACATTCTGTATGTATAGTTAAACACTATTGGTTTTAATTTCACAAGTGGAATAGTTTACCTAATGTTTTTATTAAGATACAATTTTAACCAAAACATTAACAAATTTTGATTTTCAGAACAATTTTTTGAATGTAAGTGTAAATATTTTTGTGCTTTTTTACATAACAATGGGATTACTTGATGTAAAATTCAAATACTAAGGAATGTACTATAAATTTCAAATTTTTATCTTACATTTGCTAGAAAACCCCAAATTCCAATTTTTAAGTTATGCTTCAGATAATTGCTTATCATTGATATTTTACAAGAAGTAACCACACTGCTATGTGTAGAAGCACAGAAAAAAATTAAGATTGTGACTATTCCTTCTCTGAAAATTTAAATTTGTTCTTTCACGTTCAGTATTTTTAGTTGTACATATCACCTGAATAAAAAAAAATATTATGTAGATAAATAACCTATTTATTTTTAGACCAGAGTTCACTAAATCTAATGCATTTTAGTTTAAAAAAGCTATAATAACCTTGCGCTGACTAATTTACAAAACCATGCACTTCTACTAACACAAAAAATGGCATGCAATGTTTAACTGGTGGTGGTGCTACAGAGTGACTTAGACTTTCTCTGCTAGTTAGGTTCCTTATTTCCTTAGTCTGGCCTAGCTGTTCGAATTTGCCCCTCTCTTCCTTGCTGTCATGTATAGGTACCTGAAACACATTTTTGAATTTTGTTAGGCCTCTTTAATGGTAGTTATCCTTCTTTTCCTGCCTTTATTTAAGTGCTGAGCAGCACAAGGCCACGAAGCAAACAGTGCCTGCCAGCTTTGGTAGGGTTACTCTTCACCAGAAGCTCAACTTTCCGATATAAAATATCATCTTTCCAAAGAGTTATAAGCTGTATTGAACTTATGATGCCCTGCCTTGGGTCATATAGATCATGGTTTCATTACAGCAACAATTTCTGAAATTTTGTCATTTAAAACCTTATTCAGGTCAACTACTGAATTCTGGACCACTTTAAATGGAACCACCTATAGCGGGGTGGCCCAGTTGACCTCAACAAACTTAACTGTTCACAAAGCTTTATGGATATATGGTTCATTCCAAGCTGATGTATCCCAATTATATATTATGTCACAATATGTAATTTGATACATCAAAAGTCACACTAATTAGCTTTTGATATTGAAAGTTCAAAAATACGTGGGAGTTGGTCTTGGCTGGTTGGCACATGGTTTCCACTTTCTAGAAACTTGGAATACAGGGAATTTCATTATTCCGGAAAAGGTGAGGGAAAATCTGGGAATTTGTTGAAGTCATTAAAAGTCTGGAAAAATTTTGAGATCTAGTGACTAGATATTGTTTCTTAAAAACATTATTACAATGTTTTTTGCTCAATTTTTTGTTGAGGAAATACTTGTGCTTCATCACAGTGAGATAAGAGATATGACTAATTAATATCAGGATAGCTTTAATATTTTCTTTAAGTAGTATTGAAATTACCTTTCAGAAAAAAAAAGTACACTAGAAAACTGGGGAAAGCCAGGAATATTTGTTCCAGGAAATAAGAGGTCACTCTGTTAGCAGCCCTGTAGGGTCTAATGACACCCTAAAAATAAGGGAATTTTACGGAATTGTCCTTCTTTTCAACAGTGGAACTTCTTTGCAGGGAAATTGCTCAAGAAATAATTTGTGGATCAGGTTTCTAACATTACAGAAAACACATTACAATTATACAGATTTTGCATGGCCAGCATTAGATATAATTTGTAGTTGATAAAGATGAAGAGAAAGAAATGCAATGGTTATACACTTAATGTTTTCTGTTCTGGGGATATGAGGTGGAACACACACGCTGTTCTCCAGGATGTGGTGGAAGTAATGAGACATCACAATGGGGCCACAGGGTACCCACTCTCTTTACACCTTCCCTGTTTATTGATAATACGCAAATACAGATACTTAAATTTGATCATAATTATTATTTTACATTCTATTAATATATAATATTTTTTTGTATTCTGGGAATTGACTTTCCCTGACCATCCTCTGCCCATTTTCTTCTTTGAATGCCTGATCCTCTGTTTCATTGGAAACAGCCTCATAGAGTTTAACGACATTTGTTTCATACAGTCAGTTGGATCTCAGTTGAAGGTGGTGTTGATTTTGACTCCTTTGACACATTTCAATTGTTCTCAATGAGATAAGTCGATTGACTACTATTACTAGAAAGAAGCACACAAAACCCATACACTCTTCTCTTTATTTAATGTGATCTATTCTCCTGAGCTTTTCCAAAACTTATCTTAATAATCATTTTCTTTGACTGTTATAAAACAAAATGTCATTATGTGGATTTTTATTGTAGAAAATCCTGTGAACAACTGTCTAAAATTAAGACTGGGTAATAAAATTGGCCTGCACCAATGTTGGAGACTACAAAGTTGTTGACATCCAACATCTACTATCCTTACTATTTGTTTCCGAAACTTTCATTGAAATGTAAATTTATAACTGATGGGCATTTTGAGTAAAAGGGTTTCACATTATCCATAAGATTTATTTTACTTTCTGCTTTTGTTTTCAGTGGCTCATTAAATAAATCATGTTAGTTTTGAAAAGCATTTATTTTTCCGTTACGTTGATAAAAACTGTAAGAGGCATAGCCGTTAACTCTTTAATAGATTGAATTTCAAAATTGCATACCTTCCAAGTAGTAGCCTTTTAAGACCTTTCAGAATGTACATTCTGACTGTATTTTGCAAATTCTCAATTCCAGATTTGTTCCTTCTTGACTACAAATATTTCCGTCGTCCTAAATCCTATAGGTTAGTTTTAAGTATGTCAATCTTACAATCTTTCGGAATTCGATTGTGTAGAATACAAGTCAAATCTAGCTCTGCCACCAACCAAAAAATATTTTGCTACCAAATTGACATTTACAAAACTAACCTCAATCTATGATGAATCCCTTTCCTCTTAAGAGATCATAATCAGTGATCTTTACAATTGCATTAACTTTGTTCTTCTGATAACATTGATTTCTCCATTCTCGTTCCCAGGGTCTTCGATTACCATAGTAGCAGCATCTTATGCTTTTCAGCTGGACTGGGTCTCCCAACGTGATGACTGGTGATCACACTACGAACTACAGCATTCGCAGTGTTTCTGATTGCGCCCCACAAATCCTCGTACTAATTCTCACGCCGTTTTTTGTGGCGCTCTGGCCCTTGAGTACAGCTTGTTGACTGTCAAATCATGAGTAGCTGCGCAGAATTTCATTTTGCCGCGTCGGTGGCTGCTTGCCACTCCATCAATGATTTGATTCGATTTTGTCAAAGAAATAAAAAGTGCATGCGACGTATGGGGGAGAAGTAACAACATCCGTGTACGTTTCTTGAGCTCCAGAATCTACTCCCAACTTTTTAACTGTATAAGTCGTTACAAAAAAAATCGTTTGAAAGCTTTTTTTTGCGAGTGGTACAGCTATAGTCCAAGACGCGCAATTACGCTGAGTTTTCTGACGGTGACGTTGACATCACTGCACAGCCGTGAGGTAAACAGACCCTGCATGTCCCTGCATCCCTGCTGTGCAGTATCAAGAAAACGTGCGCGAATAGTACATCGATTAAAATTCTAGGTCCGTTGCCAGTTCGTCAGGTGCGACGTTTTTTACTCAAGGATGTACTACAGTAAACTTCAGTTACACTATTTCGATTTAAACAGAGGGTCTGCTGACGTAAATCAGTTGTTACGATGTCATCCAATCAGGAGGTTGAACGTCGAGGTAATCAGATGTGGAAGCTTCCTATTGGATGATACTGTAACAGCTGAACTGCCAAAGGACACCATGAACAAATCGAAGTTAGTGACGTTTAAGCTTCCGATTGGATGGCAGCGTCACAGCAATCAATCATGATGAAAATATACATGGTTGTCACCGGATCGCGAGTTTTAATCGAATTATATTGTCTCGAATCGATCTTTCAGCGCTCCAAGCAACGGTTCCAACAAATTTTCACCATGGCCTCATGGGTCAGCTGATTGGTGCATTGAGGTTATGGACTAATCCGATTCACTAACTGCTTGCACTCAAATTTATATCTTCGGAAAATCACATATTTCCTGTAAAAAAATATTTTTCAAAACCTTTGCATACTGCTGCGCCAATGTCTTGTACAACTCCGAAAAAAAATCTGACTTGCCAAGACGGGGAATTGCCGACAGGTAGCGTCTTCGTGCTCGCGTGTCTCACGCACCCTGCGTTGTCTACCCATCGGCCAGAAATGGGAATTGTCCCTTGTGAAGCACGCAAACTCGTTTTGTCGTTACAAATTTCACGTGACTATGAGAATCGAGCCAGGAACTTCAGGGGTGAAATGCAAGCGACTTGGCCACTGAGCCACGAGAGCGTTCCTAATTGACTTGTGACATTTATAATGGT